CGCGCGGATCTTTAAGCCCCGATCTACTCTTTACATTTAATATTATTTAAAAACTAGACATTTATTATGTATATGTAGTTTTATCAAAAAATATCATTTTAAATCAATAATAATTTTATTACCCTGCTTATATGCATCAATAGCATATTAATTACAAAAAAATAATAATTCATGTAGATGAATAACTACAGATATCAAAATAAATTATTTGATTTTTAATTTTAGTTTTGTTTAGGATAGTTAACAATCAGTAAAAACAGATTAAACAATATATAAAATACGCAAAATCATTTTTGAATAAAAAACTTCTCTTGCAGTTCTAGATTTTAAGTCAGAAATCTCACCTTAAAGCTATTATTAGCAAGTATTAATTTAATAACGGAGTATTATTGATAGTTTTGAAATTAAATCGATAATATAAAAACATCCAACTATATTTATTGCAAACAAACGCAAATTATAAATTTGGAAAGTTGTGATAAACTATTGAGACAATATAAATAAATTCATTTTAAATATATAAAACAATAATTTTAAACCATATATCAATATTTGATGTTCATATGAAAAAATGATAGTTTTTAATAATTTGGATAATTTTTGCGAGAAAAAATCTATTTAAAACTTGAATATAGAAAAAGACGCTGAGAAATATTTATATAATCTTCAATCTCCCACGAGCACACTCAAGTTAACTTTAGTAATATAATTTCAGTTCAGTTTTTTATTTTAATGCGAAGGCAGCCAAAGTTTTTATGCACAATAATTTCGATAATTTCATTGTGGAAAACGAATAAAATAAGATAAAGGAAAATTCTGAAGTTAATAATCGAGATAGAAATAAAAATAAAAATCATAATGAATGGTTTTTACCATTTTGAAAAATTAATTTTATAACAAGGGTGTAGGTGATAAATTTGAAGTAAATATCTCCTCAAGATTTGAAGAACGGATAGATCCAGTTAAAAGCAAACCCAAAAATTTATTATATAAAGAATTTTACTTGGTTCAAAAATAATGCCTAATATTAGCTTTTTACTGGAAAGATCAGGTGTTTGTAACGTTAAACTCGCACTTAATAATTGTATTTGAAAATTTTGAAAATACAAAGTTTGGAAACTTTGTAGGTGTATTGCGTAAAGTAAATTTTTAACTAAATTTTGGTAATCCCGAAATACTGGTATTATTGTATCAATACCGGTATTGAATACCGGACAAAAATCGTTCGGGATCCCGGTATTCGAGTTTACGAAGTCCCGCAACATTGATACGTTAATTATTGCAATTAATTGATTTATTTATGAATATTAAAAAAATAATATATTTTGGTTTTTATGTTTTCGTAAGTCCGTTCCATTCCAATTATGGCGTGGCAAATGCGTAACAAATCTTTAATAAAAATCTATTTTTCGATAGAAGTGCGTACGTTAATCAAGTGCTGTAACTAATGAGTAGTTCAATATTGGGGTTAATGATATACTATGGAGTTCTGTATACGTAACCTGTGTTAACATTTATATAAGCATTGTGAGTTGCAATCACCGCCCGAGCGGAACATCAAAAGCCTACACGGTTCATTTCCCAAAACAGGCACGGCGCAAATTGACATAGCTTTGTTCCCTGAGCGATACTTGGCAAATTTTATTGGCTTTTGCTAAAACCTAATTTATTGGTATTTTAGCGATAGCCCCTGTCAATATATTAATAAATTACAGCAATGGACATTAAACGACAAAAATTATACATTTTAACTCAATATTAATTACAATTATATAGGGCAGAGCTTAAAGGTCGTCGGATAAGACGGTCCAACAACGATATCTCAAAAACAATTGAAGTAAAAAAGTTTATAACAACAATATTTGGTAGCGGAGAAAAAAATGTATAACCAGCCATCATTTTGATTCTCAAGACATTGCTTGTGCAAGATAAACCGCAATATTTGAAAATCCATACCAAAGGTATTTTCTTTCGATGTTAGTTTTTTTTTGGTTGTGAATACTGTTGTTTAGTTTATGAAACTTGAATTTAATTTTTAAGTCTACGTTATTTAAATGTTTTACAAGATGTATTGCTATTTTCAAGTTATATTCAACAGTTTTTTATATAACCACTATGAATGCTTCCATGCGGGTGGGGTAAAAAGGACCATTTGAGCCTTCACCCTGGCAATGGCGTAAACAATAAAAAATAGTAAATAAAAAAGTACAGTAAGTTAAAAATTACAAAAAAATAAGTTAAATAAATAGTTATTCCAAAGAAGAGGAATATATGAAATTCATATGATTATATGAATATATATTATATGAATAGTTATTCCAAAGAAGAGCGTATGTGGGTGTGTGTATGTAATTGCTCTTAAGAAACTACGCACCTAACATTTAATTTTAATTTAGCAAGCTGATATATATTTCAATTCAGTTCAATGATTCAATTAGTACTATCTTGGATTTAACCATTAGTTCAATAGTGTAATGTACACGTGATAATGATAATTAATGTCACTCAATTTTTTATTCCACTGAACTATGGTATTGAGACAGACTAAGATAGATTTATAAGATAGTTTTTTTTTTATTTAGTGCTATGCCCAAAAAAATAAACCTATAGAAATGAACATATTTGCACGAAATAATATCATACAAATTTCTATCAATTGAAAATTTCATAAATGTATAGCAGTATATTGCAAAAAGTACGTAAAGCGACTAAAAATTCAACTAGATTAAAAAATTTCTCATGAATATATACCAATGTTTCGGAAAATAATTTTAATAACGGTTTCATAACATTTTTTCATACTATTTTGTTGTAAAACACGTGCTTAGTAATACGCATATCAACTTTAATATACAAATCTTAAAATCGCATTCGTATTCAAGAAAGTTACTTGCAATGCAAAGCTTTATTAAATTATCAGAATACACAAGCGTTTACCTTCCAAAGGTAGTACATTCATATATTATGTATATGGCCGAAATCGTAAATTTTTCCAAACTTTTCTGAAGAAAATCCCATTCTGAATATCGCAAGCAACACCAACTCTCCAGCGAGTATTGAATGTTTTTATTCCAAGCTTAAATCCTTTAAATATTAAATGTGTTTTTGCATACATTCAAAGTTGGAAGCATAAAGTTTGTTTTATCTTACACCGTATTCGAATTACGATATTTATTTTCATTTAAGATAGAAATAAAGATAAGTTTAATGTTTCTTACACAGTTTTCAAATCTAGAAAAAACTTTTTAAAATTTTTATAAGAAAATATAATGTAGTACTAGTTAACTTAAAAATTCAAAAAGTTTCAACTGGAATATTCTGAGTATTACGCAAACAAACGGATATATATTATAATTAGGAAATAAAACTCTGATAAAGTGAGTACGTTTCAAATACGCTAACTGAGAATTTAATATTTAGAAGTGTATTATATAATAAATAAGCCAATTTTATCGAAATTAATAACACATATCAAACAAACAACTATCTGACTATGTTCTGTAAGACTCCCGGCTAATTCATTTAAAAATAGTTTTTTTATGTATTTCAAAAATTTGATAAGTAGTTCTTTTTATCTCATAGGCGAGTTAATATCTCATTTTTAAGTTTGAAGGAATTACAAAATTACAAAAATTCGAATAACTCTTTATTTAACTTATCTCTTGTACAATTGCTTTTTTGACTTAATTTACTTTTATAATTCTATTTTTCATTGTTGTTGATAAACATATTCTATTGTTTACATCTTCGCCAGGGTAAGGGTTCAGTTGAACCTTTTTACCCCACCCACGTGTAAGAATTAATAAAGGTTATATAAAACAAACTCTTGAGTCTTATTTAAAATTAAATGACGTATACTTGAATTATATTAAGGTCTTGTAAACTAAATTCTTCACAACCAAAAAAACTAACAACGAAAGAAAATACTTTTGTTACAAATTTTCAAACATTGTCATTTATCTTCCAATAGCAACGTAGTAAAAATTAAGGTGGTTATACATATTTTTGCCACTACTGCCAAATTCGTAGTTAAAAAAATTAATAACTTTACTTGTGTTCGAGATATCGGTGGTAGACTTTTTTACCCGCAAATCTTTAATAAACTACAACGTTTGTTTTTAACTATACCTTAATTAATGTTAAATGTTTAAATTTAGTGATACTAGATAATTGATTATATATTTCGTATGCATAAAATATATTCATCAATATTAAAAGTATTCCCAAATTTGATTGAAAATTTTACCATTCTAATTCATCATAAAATGAATCAGTTGGTACGCTATAAATATAAATTAAAAGCCACAACTTAAACACACTTCTAATGTAATGGGAGTCAATACAACTTATAATATTAACAATGCATCGATTTATGTTAAGTAAATGGTTTACTTCTACTAGATAAATGATTAAGAATTTTGTTTGCGTAAAATATAAAACAAATAGGCAACATGGATTTAGAGCATACTCAGCTGTAATTTAGAGATCTTCAATTCTAATTCATCTTGAAATTAATACGACCGGCTTGAATCATACAACTTTAAACGCACGTAAAAAATATTTTATGTGAGAGAAACAGTATACCTGTTACTATTAAGAATACCAAGATTAGCGGTATAAATGTCGTATAAAAAATAGAAAAGGATTGATGATTTCGTATGTGTAAAAAGTAAAATAAATATGTAGTGCTTATTCAATTAAGAGTTTCCAGCGTTATTATCACCATTTTAATTCATCGCGAAATCAATACGATTGGTGCGCTATAGTTATAAATAAGTTCGAATCCCGAAAGTTATCCGCACGTCCTGTCCTCCCCTATTTGATGAGAGCTCGTGCAACTTTTATTTTTAACAATAGTACGATTAATGACTGCTGTTAAAAGTTGCTCGAACGAAAGAACATACGTGCCAGGAATGCGTCGCAGAAAACAGTGCAACTGAAAACTTTTCTAATTGCGGAAACTAGTATATCGTTAGCAGTTTCGTCCGTAGCTCACTGACCTTTAACGGCGCTCAACTTGTTTCCCACCATCTGCTTTGCCACGAACGCCGCCATCTTGTCCCTCTAGATCTGAAACGAATGAGAAAAAGTCAATTAATTGTCAGCTATGTAAGATCTAACAGATTTATTTCACTCAAGCTTACTACGCGATAAAGTATAAAAATTAAATTCAATCTAATGTTTTGTCTGGGCAACATATTGGATGGACAGCATTTGCGGTGCTTCTTGTGTACATACACCTATGTAGATATTAGGGTGGTCCTTAATATAAACATTTTTGAATTTCCTTGTTCCCAGGGGCTCAAATGCTTCCAAATTGATAAAAAATAATCCTCTATAAGTTTTAGCTCTTGATATTGTCTTTCAAATAGTGCCAAAGTTTCATATGGAAATAGCATAAAAAACTTTCGAAAAATTTAAAAATATTTTTAGATATAGCTTAGCGAACAAATACATGAGTTTTATAATAAATTATAAAAAACCTGTTTTGTGAAGCGTCGAATTTTCAATAAAAGATGACACAAATTGTCACTTTTAATTTATTTGTCACTAAGTTATACTTAAGAACCATTTCTAAAATTTTCGAAATTTTTTCCATACTATTTTCGTACCAAGCTTTGATTGAATTGCGCACTATTTAAAAGTTGATATTAAGAGCTAAAACTTTTAAAGATTTTTTTTATCAATTTGGAAGCATTTAAGCCCCTCGGAGCAATAAAATTCTAAAATGTTCATATCAAGGACCACCATATATATATATATATATATATATATATATATATATATATATATATATGTATATGTGTGTGTGTGTGTGTAAATGTAACGACTTGTAATAGATAACACATAATGCTAATTTAGACTTCCATATTTTATTATAACACACTGATGATGAGACCAATAGAGTCTCGAAACGTTCGCAAAATTATTATTAAATAAATTAGTGCAAAAAAGAGTGTTGTTTATTCATATTTCTAAATTATATATATATATATATATATATATATATATATATATATATATATAATATGTGTGTGTCATGATGTTCATCGCAATACTCCCCCAAAAGAGTTTGATTGATTTTTATGAAATTTTATAATCTCAATCAGTATGGCTGAATCAGCCAATATCCATAAAGTGGTGAGCGTTGTCCACACTCAATAAATATTTTTGGTTTTGTAACATTTTTATTCAAATTTTGTTTTTAATAATTTGTTATTTGTAGTAATTCCTCTCACACAAATAGGGGTTCGTAAAAGTCATTTTAGTAAAAAAAATGTTATATTATGTTTAGATACAGTAAACGCAAAAGCTTGAATTTTACATAAAAACACAATTTATTTTTGTCAAGGGTTGTTCGACTTTTTTTTAATTTCATAGTCAATTTTTATTTTATTTCTTTAATGCATAATTAAAATATACATACAACCCTAAAATTTTACCGTACTACCACAAATATCTATTTCATAATAGTCATTTTAGTAGTCTAAATATTTTCCATATATCTCGATAACTGATCAATTATCGTATTTTTGTAAACATTTCTCATTGAGTTTTGATTAAGATATTTCTGAGCTTATTGAGAAGCTTAAATTTATCCACTCCATGCGCAGAAGCATTTTCAGAATAATTCTTAGATATTGGCAATATTTATTGCACTTACAGTACATAGTTCACGAATGGCATGCAGAAATAGCATAAATACGATTATGTATTATATTATCGTATTATAACCTGAAGATATAATAGTTTTTTTTTCATACAAATTCATGGCAGTGCTTTATATTTTAACTGAATTTTTGAAATCTCAGAACATAATTCAAAAATGAATGTTAGGAATTTGTTTCGTAATTCATAAATTAGTGTTAATTCATAAATCAAACCTATTTATGTTCTTTTATAAGGTTATGGTTTTAACTTCCGCCTATTTGAAAACAAGAATCACTTTCTCAACAATCTGATATAATTATTTATTCAGTTTAAAAATAGTAATAAAAATAAAAATTTAATTATACGTAACTCGGTTAATTTCCAAAATAAAACATTTAATAATGAGTGGTAACTGTAGTTATTATGTAATTCATTTTTGATATGAAGCATAAAATTGCTTTAATGGATTTGTCTGCAAACTTTGTATCCAGACATAACAATTTTACATAAATTTTAAATGGCAGTATATAACTCATTCTTATTTATAGCATCAATATATTCTATCATGAAAAACAGATAAACAAACAAAGTAAGTCTAATTAGCTACTGTTATATATATATATATATATATATATATATATATATATATATGTAAAATTCAAATAAAAAGTTGTATAAAAGTCTTCGTTTTGCGCATAAATTATGAAACTTTGTTTTTGCTAAGTCGTTTCGGCAGAATGTCCATGGTTAGTGTACTTTTGAAATGACAAAGTACCTGGTTTACAAGAACAATATGTAAACAAGGGCGTATAAAAAAGTTTCCATCGGTAAAGTTTGTGTGACAAGGAACGTAAGATGAATATAATATTTATGCAATGTACATTGATAATACTGACTAAGCTTCTTTAAGATAAATATGAAGAGGAAAGTTAATTTACTTAATCGATATTGACGTTAAATAAAAAGTGAAAAAATAAATAAACAAAGTTAAAATAAGTGGGTAATAATGAGTCGTAATTTTCATGGATGATGCGGTCGATTTCAATTTTTAGTAGATATTTGCATTATTTAAATCTGTCATGTATAGCCTGAATCCAGCATGTTTCTTATAATTAGTAGAAGGCAATGATGTCAAATTTGACGATGCTTTATTAAATATATAGAAATAATGATTACTATGTCCTTATAAGGATTTGCATTGCAAACTTTTAGATGTTTCAAACTCGACAAGTAACATATAGAACCATTTCAAAAATTTTAGACTTTTGTTATAAAATAGTATTTAAATCATTTATAATATCCTCAGTTTGTAGTTGTAGTTTAAAAGTTAGTTAAATTTTGATAAATGTTTATATAAAAATAATATAGTAGCGCAACTCTGAGTTCTTTTTTGCGTTCCATATTTTGTTCAAAACTTTATAATTTAAAAGGTAGGAAAATAGACGAAACATTCCGTTCAAATATATCTAATCAATATATTTTTTTAAATTTTTAACTTCTACTTTCACATTTTCATTATCTGAACACGAAAAACACTGTCTATGTCCTTTTAGCAAACAGTGCACAAATTTAATACCATACATAGTAAATCCTGTGGTGTTGTAAATCTTTATAAATGAAGAACTGCCATTTCCAGTCCTACACTATGCACTCTTGTGCCCTATGCCACACTGTAACACCACACTCGTTGGACTTAAGCTTCTCATATGTGCAGACAACTGGCAGAGCTTAACGTCATGAAAAAGCTCATAAAGCTCCGAAACATATCTGTCTATAATGCTATATATGGTGAACATGTTGTGTATTTCGAGTTCAGAAAATAACAAGGTATAATTAAATATTGCTATAATTTTAACAGTATCTGTTATGTTGAGAAAACTTGTTTTATTAACTTTATTAAATTTTATTAATTTTATATTCCTCACTGAATTTGAGTATAAAGTACAAGGCGTCTCCACCGTACAATTTTGTCAAAATGAATGGAAAATAAACGCTTTTTATAATTTCAATATATAAATTGTAAGCTAAATAAAGGAATATATATATATGTATATATATATATATATATATATACATAAAATGCATTTTAATTTTATATACATTTTATAACATCTATAACTTTGAGCAAGTTTTTAATTATATGCGAAAGTAATTAAAACTCGGCAAGCAAATAATTATATTTTAAAATAAATTCTTGGCTGAAGAATATTATTATATTCCCGTTTGTGTTCTTTCGCTTGTTAAGTTATTATGCATTACACAATAGAGTAATTGTGAGCTCATTGTCAGTATCAGAGTCGTTAAAGAAATTGTTTAGTACTTTTGTTTCGGCGATTTTTTTTGTCATAATTAAAACATAAATGTGCCTTGTAACTATTAATCACATAGAATAATAAGACGCATACACATATACGCATACATATATATCACATACTTTCCACTCATAATTTTGTTTGGTTTTTATAGTGTAAATTAATTATATCTACATACAAAAACGACGTATATTAACATTTTATGAAAGTGGTTTTTATTATTCACTTCTTTTACAAGAAAATCAATCATATAAAAGACTTATATAAGAATGGTAATACATTAGAATAAGGTCACGACCGATTATGAGATACGAGATCGGTCATTTTCTATAAAGGACCTAATATCCATTTAGATTCAAAAGAGCCATACTTACTAAGCCATCTTAAATTTTCAATCAAGCCAATACCCTTGCTATTAAACCCTTGGGATAGGGTCAAAACAAGTTTATTCTTCTACTGAATGATTTAGGTTATGAACTTATAATGGAATGATCTGGGGAGACATAGATTTTAAATGTATAAAACTATTATATATATATACACATATATATATATATATATATATATATATATATATATATGAGATATTATATTGAATTACAAATAACATTACGAAACAAATGAATCCACAGTAATTGGCTGAAGCTCCAATTCAAAGATTATACTTTACGTCGGTTTAGATTTTTTTAATGCTTGAAATAAGATTAGTCGTTGGAACCCAAGGCACAGATTAAAGTACGCAATTCTTCGAATGAAATATTAGCATCTAAAACCCAAGCAAAAAAACTCATTATGAGAGGAGCTGAAATGTAACTTGAAAAAGGAGAATGGACAAGCTTATAAATTGTACAAACTGAATGAACTGAGGGTATTTCGTAGCTTTGATATAATTAAACGAACCAAGGAAATTTGATACTTTCCATGCAGACATATGTATTATATAATTATAAATATCACTACTACGAGTGATATATATTATATCGGCAAAAGTAATTGTTTTATTAATAATATGCAATGCAAATATAATGAATTACGTAATTATTTTTTGTATATCTACTATTTACAAATAAATCATATACACATGTAGTATATATATTGATTATCATA